ATATTTGAGAGGATTATATTATTAGTTTATATTTTTTGGCTGACATTTATTGAGACTGGCCCATTTGTTACCATCATTTCCTAGAAATAGAAAAAGGCAGTGTTACAGTATTCCAAAGGATATGTACTCAAAGAAAGTAATTTCTTCTTTGATTATTATATTTGTATATTTTACATGTGAAATTCTCATAGTACATATTTTGCTAAGTGCACCATATCTGAGCATATTGTTTCATGAAGTCCAACAGCCTTTACTTGTCCTTTCCAGGATTAAGAAGTAAATCAGGTATTTCTTATCTTTTTTTTTCAAGAAATTTATGTTTATTTTATTTTAATTTCTTTAATAATTTTAAGAAACTGTTTACTTTTTCTGTATATTTTCTATTGCATATGTCAAGATAAAACAAATGATGACTTCTCCAAATTCTTGTTATATATATTTTCACACTTAAAAATATTACATAAAAACCAAAGAGAATAATATTTTAGTATTATTTCTGTGAGTTGACTACCAGAAAGCTACCTTTTAAGCTAATATTCAGAAAAGATATTGCTATTTAAGTCTTCTTTTCCCTGAATTTTATTGGATACAGTCAACCTTCTATTTTATGTTTCTTAAATTTCTGCATTTATTTAAATAAAAATATTACTGAGCCAACTAAAACACTAGTTTGGTAAAGCTGAGTTCCAGCAAAAGAATATGAACCAATTCCACACTTACAAATGAAAGGAGCTTGGTAGACTCTAAGCTTTATTTTTCTTTTCACTTAACTACTAATTAGGAACCATGGCTCTAAAACTAAACCTAAAACTATATGATGGAGAAATTTAAGATTTCAATTCTATTCTTCTAGGAATAAATATACTTAAAATACCTTAGCCCATAATTAACAAGCATGAAAAATCTTCTCTCCCAACTGACTTATTTACATATATATTTGCAAATATCAAATTCCCCCTGCTACTTTTATGCTACCATGTTAAATACTACATAGGACTGGTTCTCTATTTTTATATTATAATCTTTGTGATGGCAAAGACCTTCTAAAATTGATGTCATTCACAACTTGTGTAACAATCAGAACTATAATGAAAAGCATTTTCTGAGTTTCAGTGATCATTCTTTAAATAGCGCCAACTCTATTCAAGACAACCCAAACAAATGACTAGCAATCAACTGTTCCCTACCTTCTCCCAAAGAACAATCTGAAACAAAGCAATTCAATATAGTTATCATATAGGATAAATCAGAATACCAAAGACTATACTCTCACCAAGAAAGAGAATGAGGCAATATCTATTCAATTATTAATAGTCATGACTTCCTTTTTTGCTAGGTTCACTGCAATGACTTAAAAGAATGAAAAATTTTTTGAGTCAAACTTCCAAAAATATTTTATAATTACTTATCATTAGTACCAATAAGACAGTAGGAGGACTCATCCAGCAAAAATAATCAGCACTGACAGTACACAGGAGATTCAGTGCATCTCCACAGGAATATTTTACCTGATATTTTCTTCCCAAATATTTTTTAACAAAGTCCAGGCTTATTTTTTATTGTCCTTGTTAGTTGTTTATAAAATGTTAATAGGTATATTAAATATCACTTATCAAATGAAGGCACTGAAACTATGTAAATACAATCTTGTATATAAGGTTACATAGATCACATCATTCTTTCTTCCCAAAGAAGTGAATTTTCCATGTGGGCAGAGAAGTAATATGATACTGTATAATACATGAAAAAACAATGGTCTTGGATTTTGACTCTATGACTTATTTTTACTGGCACTTGCATGCCATTTAAGCTTTAGGTTCCTTAATTTACCCACAGTTGAACCAAAAACTCTGTGCTAAATGATTTCTAAAATGTCAACTACTTCTGGAGTTCAGGGTATTAGAAAGACCGTAGTAAACGCAATTTCTAATTAAACTACCAGAATTTCTATGTAAAAGAGGAAGTCACCAAAAGCAAAGTAGGAAAAACTTACAATATCTCCCTAATAAGCATTGTTATAATGAGAAAATCAATAAACAGTAAAGAGTCAATCAGCACCTATTTTTTAAGATAAAATAAATTTTGATAAAATAGAATTTGCTGAATTAAAAAGGAAGAGCTTATAATTACTGTCTTCTATTTTAAATTTTTACTATTAAAGTAATATTCTTTCTAGAATAATATCATATATAGCTAAAAAGATTATTGTTTATCTAAAACTATAAGCTCTTGGAAAACAGGTCCATTTTCTCTTATTTTCCCATCTACTGAGTCACCTCTATAGAGTAAGACAATTCTTAGTGGTTTCTATTTATTTTGAAATACTAGCACACGCATGAAGCTTCCATCTTAATCTCCCCTGAATGACAGGCTGAAATTATAAATTCTATGTTTAACATTTCTTATTGAATGTCTAATAAACAACTTAAGTATAATACAGCCATAATGGTAACACTGCTTGCCAGGTACATTAGTTTTCTATAGCTGTGTAGCAAATAACAAACTTCATAGCTTAAACAACACCTATTTATCATTGCATAGCTTCGGTGGGTCAGAAACATAATCACAGAGTAGTCGAGCTCTCTGCTCATTTTCACATACAGCCAAAATTAAGACTTCGGCTGGGGCTGTGATCTCATCTAGAGCTTAAGAGTACCCACCCAAGCTCATTCAGGTCATTTACACCATTCACCAGCTGTAGCTATATTTCTGAGGCTCCATTTTCACACTCTCAGCCAAGAACAACTATCAGCTCCCAGGCCATCCTTAAATTTCTGACATGTGCTCCCCTTCCTCTCATATATCAATTTGCTTCTTTGAGGTCAGAAAAGAGCATCTCTCTGACATTTCACCTTTAAAGGGCTCACATAGGAGCAGGCAGGCAGCATAGTGTTTTAAGTCACCCACTGGGATCCTTGCATCCTATACTGTACTGCCTGATCAAGTCCTGGCTCCTTGATTCCAATCCAGCTTTCTGCTAATACACATCCTGGGAGGCAGTACTTGGTTCCCCAACACTGAAGTGGGACACCCAAACTGAATTCCTGGCTCTTGACTTCAGCTTGGTCCAGTCTTGGCTGTGGTAAGCATTTGGAAAGTGAACTTGGGGTAGGAGATCTATAAAACATAAACTGAAACTATCTATCTCCTTTCCATTAATTTCTTCTATAATTCTCCTTCTATGCATAGCTGAATGACTTTTTTAAATGTTAAATGGAATCATGTTACTGTTTTGGCCTCCTATGACTTCCTCCACACTTTGAATACCCGTAAACCTTCTAAACAAGGTCTTACGAGGCCTTCTATGAAGATGCTATTGTTTGAATGTGTTCCTTCCAAACTTTATGTATTAAAACTTAATCCTGGAGCTGGTGCCGCGGCTCACTAGGCTAATCCTCTGATGCGGCATGGCACCCCAGGTTCTAGTCCTGGTCGGGGCACCGAATTCTGTCCCGGTTGCTCCTTTTCCAGTCCAGCTCTCTGCTGTGGCCCAGGAAGGCAGTGGAGGATGGCCCAAGTACGTGGGCCCTGCACCCGTATAGGAGACCAGGAGGAAGCACCTGGCTCCTGGCTTCGGATTGGTGCAGTATGCCAGCCACAGTGGCTGTTTCAGGGGTGAACCAATGGAAGGAAGACCTTTCTGTCTGTTTCTTTCACTGTCTAACTCTGCCTGTCAAAAAAAACAAAAAAACAAAAAAACAAAAAAAAAACCTTAACCCCCATTATAGAGATATGAAGAGATGGTTAAATGATGAGTGCTCTGCCTTCTAAAAAGGGCTTCAGAAAGATGTCCATTTATTTTTGCCCTCTATCCCTTTTGCCATGTGAGGACACAGCGTTTTTCTCACTGGAGGTTGCAGCAACAAGGCACCATTCCACAATGGTGCACAGAGTAGCTCTCCAGACACCAAACCTGCTGATGCCTTAATCTTGTACTTCCCATTGTTCATGACTTTGAAAAATGAATTTCTCATTTTTTTAAAAAAATTATTTAGTCTGTGGTATTTTATTATAGCAGCACAAGCATATTAAAAAGAGAAGCTCTCTCTGAGGAAACACTATTCAATATGTAAATAACTCTCTAAAGTAAGCCCCCTCATAATCTCAACAAAGAGTAGATCAGGCAGAGGTGATTAATGTAAAAATCCTGAAGCAGAGATAACGTGATGCATTAGAGGAACATAAAGGAGGACAGGATGATTGGCACAACTTACAGTGAGGGAGAGGATGGACTAATCACAGCTTCTGACTCCGTTGGTAAAATTAAGTATCAGGAAAGACTGGTAATCTAGCACATGGCAGATGAGTAACCTGCTGGTTTCATGGGGTACTTCTGTGGATTCTCTGGGGATCTGCAACAATTGAGGTCTTGCCCTAACAACTTCCTTCGTGAGTACACATGCATCCCTATGAGTGGTTATCTATGATGCCTCTCCTTATTGCCTGTCTTTCTATTGTGGTCTCCTCTTCTTTTAGACACGATTCTTGGAGTTAGTGTAAGACAACATTATACAGCCTACATCTGGAACCGAGAAAACGTGCAACCTTAGTTCAGTCTCTGTAAGTGGAGTTATTTCCTACTTGTACTATCAAACATGCTGCCACCAAGTCTCTTCAGTCAGACTTGGCTTCTAGATTAGATATGAATCAGATACCAGAGCCTCCACATCCTCCAAGTTCAAGTTCATCTAACATTCTTTTTGAAATCCCTATCATTTGACTTGAAGTAAGTGGGAAGCAATCTACTCCCATTCATGAGGACTCAAAACATCCTGACAAGTCTTTTCAAATTCCTACATTCTGGCTGAATTATGATTCTTCACTTAAGTAAACACTAACATTTCCAAAACTTACGTTTAATCCTTTCATATGTAATTAATATATAAGTTGTACTATAGCTCTATTTAAATGGTAGGAATAATGTACACATGAGTGCAAAATAGAGGGTATATTTAAGACAACAAATTTTGCTGGGTAATGTGTCTGGCTTTGCCACTCACCAGCAGTATGTCTGTGACCAAGTTCTTCAAACTTTGTGTATCAGTATTTTCATCTGTGAAATACAGAAAATAACAATCATAGTGTTAAGATGAGAATTAAATAAACTATATACACATTCTTACCCATAATCCAACAAACACAAGCACATGTACATTTTCAGCTATACACACATACACAATCTTTCATATTCTCTAATTTTTATATGTTCATATAGAGTTGTCACCTATTTTTTTTCATGCCATATATAACTTACGCTTGAGACAAAACATCTCATCTTAAGGTGCTATCTAAAATGTGTCAATAGGAAACAAGCAATATCAATATTTTTATATTTAAAACATGACAATTCTTCACTATATCATGTGGGTGTATTTTTTTAAATGTCTGAAATACATATGGACATAAATTTTCAAACTAAAAGAAAAAAATCACCTTTTCACATTATTAAAAACTTGAGTTCATCAGTTCTACTTAGACAATGACTATTATTATTTTTAATAATAAGCTGGCAGAAGTTAGGATACCACTTGGGATGACTGCTTCCCATGACAGAGTACCTGCATTTAAGTACTGACTCAGCTCCTGATTCCAGCCTTCTGCTAATGTATACCTTGGGAGGAGCAGCAGATGAGTAAAGTAGTTGGAAATCTGCTACCCACATGCGAGAGCTGGATTGAGTTCCCAGCTCATAGCTTCTGCCTGGCCCAACCCAAGCTGTTGCCAGAATCCAGGGGGTGAAACAGCAGATAGGTGCTCCTTCTCTATCATTTGTCACGTCTCTCTTTCTCTTTCTACCTCCCCCACCCCATGTGTGTATGTGTCTGTGTTTATGTCTGTCTCTCCAATAAATAAAAATAGTAGTCTTAAAATCACACACGTATGGCACTTGGTATTCAACATGTATTCATAACATTATTATACTTATTTTTATTATTTCATTTGAAGCAAAAGGTATTTTACATAGCATTTTTACATTTTAAATAATTTTTTACATGTGAAGAAGCTGACATTAAGAAATACTGTAAAACTTAGATAAGGAGACTAATAAAAAAAATAGACCTTTATCACTCCACTAAGTCCTTACCTAGTAATCTTTATACAGTTGGACATTGCTCCTTAACCCAGGTAGAAAGGGTATCACTAACTCCATTAGCTGAGATCTCACAGTGTTACATGAATGCTTTCTGAAAAATATAATTAGTATATTAAACCAAGACATGTAGCAGAGTTCAAATCACAATTATCTTTTGTCTCTAATACTTCTTGAAAATTTATTCAGTGTGGATATTCTTTCCTGTTGCTGGATGAAAAACTGGCTAATTTCATGACTTTTTGCTTCTTCCTAGGTATAAAGCAGTTCTGTAACCCTTTAAGTCATAAAGCATTGCCCTAATTCAATAATTACAATTTATACTTGTGCAATTCATGTTATTAATCAATGTTTCTACAGCAAATCAAATTTAGACTTTTCATTCCCAAACGCAAGGTCTGTATTTGCTTGCCTCATACACAATGAGCATGGTTCTATTTTGCCTTTTTTCCCCACCTGTCTTTCTCTTCTTTAACTGGCTAGCCACTTTGCTAGACCCTTCCAGGATCACAGTGAGCATGCTCAAAGAAATAAGAGAATGAAATGATTTTTCCTTGACCAGTTACATCATATTTTATGTGCTAGGTACATAAGCAAAGCTGATAATCTTATGGGAATCTTTTGTATCTTGGATTTAGAAGTTTCCATAGTTGGCAACATTTCATTCTCCTGACTGCATGCACTCCAATTCAGCCCTTCATGTTCCTGGACATCTCACACAAGGTCACACTATTGGAGTCTCTTTAATACTTCCTGTTGATCCTCTTTGTTAGTCCTCAGGAAAGTTTTCAACCCATTCTTTTACTTGCAGTGGCTCAAACCTAGTCTACTAATAAATTCTTTGCCACAGACCAGGGCAGTTTTAAAGAAGCAACAAAACTCTTAGGTCTATACCAAGCACAGTTAGCCCTTTTCTTATCACTTGAATAGTCTAGGTGAGTGATTGACTCCAGGTTGCAAGGTCCCATAATGTCAGGAAAGACATGTAAATCCCTCTAAGTGGTCTTGTGAAAACCCACTCTTTCTAACTGTACGCTTCTCTTCTGCACAAGTAAGATGAGGTTTGAATGCTGTTTCCTTCACAGAAGTTCTCTTCAAATCGTTTACCTTCTTCACACTCTGGTGGTTCATGTCCTTGAAATATCTGAGGGTTTCAAAACTCAGAAGAGTAGGTTTCTGGATTTTCCTCTATATTCATCAAAAAGAGAAAAAGTAGTGTCTGACTCATATTCATTTCAAAACTGTGTATTTGGAAAGGGCATTTAGCCTAGCACTTAAGATATCGGAGTACTGGGTCTGGCTCTTGGTTCCAGATTCCTGGTAATGCAGACACCAGGAGGCAGCAGTGATGGTTCAAGTAACTTGAGAGTTCTGAGTGCATTCCCCATTTCCAGCTTTGGCCCCAGCCCAGTCTCAGCTGCTGTGCGCATTTGGGAGAGTTAACCTATGAATGAGAGCTCTTTCAAACCGTATCTGTCTCTGTCTAATAAAAAAAAAAAATACAATTAAAAATTTATTTATTTATTTGAAAGTAGAGTTACAGAGAGACAGAGGCAAAGAGAGGTCTTCTATCCATTGGTGTAGCCATCCAAATGGCTGCAATAGCCAGAGATGGGCCAATCTAAAACCAGGAGCCAGGAGGTTCTTCTGGGTCTCCCACACAGCTGCAGGAGCCCAAGGACCTGGGCCATCTTCTACTGCTTCCTTAGGCCATAGCAGAGAGCTGGATCAGAAGTGGAGCAGCCAGGACTTGAACAGATACCCATATGGGATGCGGCACCACAGGTGGAGGTTTTACCCAAAATGCCACAGCACCGACCCCTTGGTAAGCCCTATCAATAGCCTGCTCTACATGTTCTGCTCCTTGCTTTATACTATCATATTGATGAATGTATTGTATATATATTATGTCCTCTGCTGAGTTACAATTTCCTTAAAAGGAGATACTGTGGTTTATTTATTTATACATTCTTCATGACACTTAGAATTGGATACACACTAAATGAAAAGCAACACGGAAAACTAGCCAAAGGCTAACGTGCAATTAACGGAAGCAAGAAGAATCTAACAGTTAAGCAAATAACATCAGACAGGCATGGAATTAAATCCTCGCTTTATCATGGGCTAACTCAATGGGTGACCTTGGAAATGTGGTTATACTTTATCTGCAAAGTATAAATAATGACACTTTCCTTATTTGGTCTTAGTGAAGAATATTTCCTTATTTGGTCTTAGTAGAGAATAATTTTAAAATTAGCTGTTTTAATTATTGTTATTATATTTGTTACCTATTTTTCTAGAAAGATAATAGATATGGCCAAAAATGTGAATAAATTTGTTTTATAAACAAGCTGATGATTAAATTAAAAAAACTCAGCAGTTATCTAAGCAACTTGATCGTTAAAAAACAATTTGAATTAATAAGGCTAGATAGACATATTCTTTATACACATGTGAGTAAAAAAGAAGAAAAAAATGAAGACACTGCCTGAAGTATGGTAAGCATTGACATATTTTTCATGGTTTTATTATGTTCCTGTAGGTTGAAAACATTAAAAAATTACCAGTATGAGGGAAAAATGTTAATCTTATATGGTTTATAATTTATTTTAACTTGATTAATTATGGAAAATGTGTAAAAAAAGTATGTTGGTTTCAATATATAGTCCAGGGCTGATAATTGGACTGTGGTTTTCAGCAATGATTTCCTACTACTTAATCTGAAGGCTGATCTCTAGGCTTCATCTATTTTACTCATCAACACCCGCTATTTGTTCATGAGCTCAATGTTAAATTACTATCAATACTATGTAAGTACACTAACTAAAATATACAAACAATTTCTTCACTAATTTTTATGAACAGATTATTAGAATCTGCTAATCTTATATTTTATATAAATGATACACTAGACATTATTCTTAAATGCTCCTCTATTTAGCCAGTGATTCTGGAAGATTATAGGTTATCCGGTTCACTAGAGAGCTAAAACAAAGCAGTCCCTCCTTTGCTGAGGCTTTGTTTTCTGTGATTTCAGTTTGATTCAGTCAACTGTGGTCTAAAAACATAAAATGGAATACTCCAGAAATACATAAATCTTTAAGTTTTAAATTACATTCCATTTTGAGTAGTGTGATGAAATCTGCCACCATTTTACTCTGTCTTGCTCTCTATGTTAATCATCTTGTCCAGTGCATATATACTACCATTCAATTACTCTCTAGCTATCCAGGTGATAAGATCAACTGTTGCTATATCACAATGTGTATGTTCAAGTAATCCATATTGTATTTAAGAATGGCACCAAAGAATAATAAAAGAGATATAGAAAACTTTATTATGGCATATTGTTATAATTGTCCTATTTTATTAGTTATTGCTGTTGATTTCTTACTATGCTTGATTTTTAAACTAAACTTTACCATACTTATGCATTTTTAGAGAAAACATGCATATATCTGTATATAGACATACACACACATTTACACACATATAGAGTTTAGTACTATCCACAATTTAAGGTACTCACTGGGGGTCTTAGGAGGTAGGCACATTCATAAGTGAAGATTACCCTATTGCTTATTTAATCAAAGGTCAATATTTATGCAAGGTATCATCAGAGCATATGCAGCAGAAAGCTGAGATTTCATGGTCTGTAGAACTTTACTCGTATTATTTTATGTTTGTTTATGAAAAAATATCCATGTGTAGCAGAATCTGTGCCATTATTCATGATGTGATGGGTAGATAAAAAAAGTTGGTTATATCACTTAACCAACTCCTACAATGGTAGCCACTATATTTACTAGAGATAATCTAATAGCTGTGAAATAATTGGTTTAGTCAGATCATGACAAATATTTGTGTATATATGATAGAAATTATATATAAATATATATGAGAGAGATTATTACTTCTTGAAAGATAACACTGCAAGAAATAGCTTTGAAACTGATCATTAAAGTTAGTGTTCATCAAAATATAGATGTGTTATTCGAAGAGGAAGGTAAGGAAGGTAAGAACAATAATTCTATTCATAGTGTTGGAGGAACAGAAACTGCAAGAATAAATCGAGGCATAATGGGTCTAAGAGATGGTGATACTAGTAAGAAGTTCCTGCAGAGTATTCAGAATATCCATTTCTTCTTTTTCATCTGATTTTTCCACTGGTTATGTTGGATTGGGATTGAAGGATGGTTGTTTTCACACCATCACTGATGAGAATAGCTAGGATTTAGGTAGAGAGAGATAAAACCTTAATGATAGGAAACTTGAAGATTTAAGTATCTGCAGTGTCCAGATTCACAACTAATTCTGATATTTAGGGTAATTTCACATTTCACTCATCTTCCTCTCTATAAACATCATTTTGCTGAGGTTGTATCTAAGCTGTAAGAATCTAAAAGGGCATCACACAATTAACAGGTGACATCTGGTTCTCAGTGACAACTTCAGGCTAACGCCGTGACATGCCTGTTTTCTCTGGTCTCTACTACTGGCGCATGCAGATGTCAGCTACGTCATACTTCTCTCCAGTCTGCTTATGCTCTGAGCTGTAACCATTCTGTTTTCAGTTCAACGTGAAAGCATTCTGCTGCTCTCCAGGGTTTATTAGTGAGACAAGAGATTCTAAGAGGCCATTTCAGGTCTGTACCTCGAATATGTCACTCATTTTGTTCTCCATACACCAAGTAAGGGACATAATTGGAGGTAGGGGAAGAGTGGCACAATATAACGTTTGAGATCTCTCTAAGCTCCACTGTAAGAAATCATCTTCAGTTCTAGAAACCCAATTTTATGTATTTGTTCTATTGTTAATCCCCAAACTGATCACTGGGCTTGAGGAAAAAAGGTACCTGAGAACACTTTCCAAGTGATATGAAAAAATCTAAATATTCTTTCCCCATTTTTGTCCTCTTTCTCACCCGAGAAATTTTTCTTGATGGATTTGAAAAATTAATTGATTTATAATCTGTTAGCATATTATTGCACCTTGATATTTTTCATTAACTTGTATGTGTGTAAATTATTTTTCTTTCTACATCTTTGCTTTTGAAGCATAAACAATACTTTGTTTTACTGCTGTTCCCCCTT